CCATGGGTTGAAAAGTAAATTACTTGCCAATTATGCTTTGAGGTTAAGATCAGCTTACATTGCCTTCGTTGGCTAGTGGGTTGACTTTCTGATTTTTTTGTATTTTTCATTATTTTAGTTTGGGACTAAAATATTTGTTTGGGATAGATTTTTTAGGCTATTTTTATACCGTCCGAATCGGTTCCAATCCGGAACCATGGAATTTAATCCGGAATCGATCAGTATACTACAGATTTTTAATTTTTCAATTCGGAACCGAATCACAGATTTAAAAAATCAATCCAAACCTATTGAATTAGACTAGACCGAATCAGATTGCAAATTCCTTAATTAGCCCTAATATCTTGAACACTTCCCATAGGTTGAAAAGTAAAATTACTTGCCAATTATGCTTTGAGGTTAAGATCAGCTTACATTGCCTTCGTTGGCCAGTGGGTTGGTTTTTTGACTTTTTTTATTTTTGATTATTTTAGTTTGGGACTCAAATGTTTGTTTGGGTTAGATTTTTTTAATTTTGTTTTACTTTTGTGAAAAAAAAATAATAATTATAGTTTGAATGTAACATTTTGTTTTATTAACTTTTTAGTTTATTTTATCTTTTTGTGATTATTTTAATCCCAAACTGACATGCCAAACGAAATCATCAATGATAATTACTCACTAAAATTTTTAGGAAGACTTATGTGTAAATTTTAATAGGTAAATGTCCAATAAGTTTTACGATAATTAATGATTTTTTTTTATCAAACACTATTAGAAAATGTTATTAATTATTAATTTTTAGCGATAATTTAATAATTTTGTCACGAAAATGTCACTAATTATAAATTTTAGCTAAAATTTGAAAATTGTCACAAAAAAGTCACTAATTTTCAACTTTAGCCATAACTTCAAAAATTCATTATAGAAAAACGTCACTAATTATAAATTTTAGTGATAATTTATAAAAATTGTGATAAAAAATTACCAATTATCAATTTTTAAGAACATATGTATAAAATTATTATAAAAATTTATTTTTAGCAATAATTTTATTAAAATTTATTTTTAATAAAAGTTTATAAAAATTAAATCTAACTATTAAAAATTATTGATAATTTATCAAAATTTTATTGTTAAAAGCTAAATTTCACCCAAAAAAAATAGTAATAATTAAACTAAAAAATAATATTAATTACATGGCCGGCTAGTGTCAATTGGTCAAATCCGACCGTTGGCACTTTTGCGTCGTCTTCTGCTCTCAAGCAACCTCCATCGGCAAAAAAAGTCAGTGAAGAGTAAAATGACTATAATACCCCTGTATCTTATTAATACAATGTCACGTTAGAGAATTTTTTTTTTTTTTTTAAAAATGCTATGTCTCAATTTTTCTATTAAATAAATGATTAAATATCTGTGAATCTCACATTTTTATGAATCTCACACTATATAAGATATCTGATCATTTATTTAATAAGAAATTTAACATCTCTAATATTACCTTTTATTGGTGTGTATCCCAAAAATAGTAAATTTTTCTATTTGGATATGGAACAATATTTCTGTTTTTGAATTACACATCCAGATGCAAATTTGTTCTGACATGTACATAGATAAAATTTTGACTTTTAAGTGATGATGATATGATGAATTATTGGTGTGTATTTGTTGCAGTGATTACAGGTTTTTTTTATTTATTATTTTTTCTAAAAAAAAATATTTTATAAAGAATATTTTGCGCAAACACCCTCTAGAAAGATGAAAATAGTATATGATGTTTTATTAGCAAGTTCTAAAAATGCCCTTATATGCTGCAAAAAAACAAAGTCAAAAGCCTAAAAGTGAAATATGTAGTTGAAAATTTTGCATTCATTAAAGAATTAAGGCAAGAGCCTTTTTTAACAATATGTTAGAAAATGGGAGCAAAATCCTTAATCGGACTGAATGGTGTTGTTCGGCTTATGGGGGCTCACCACGGATTCTATTTTGATAATTTGAACCGTTTAATATGTAGAACTCGTCGAACACTAGATATCTATAAAAATCATGTTGATCGGATATCGATGAGTATATGATCAAATCAGTTTTGTATTAAAAAATAGACGGTGAACAAATTAACGGTTGATAAAAAATTGATAAGATGAGATAGCTATCGATATCCGATCAACGTGATTTTTTACAAATATATATAGTACTCGACGAGTTCTACACATTGAACGGTTCGGATTATTAAAATGGGACCTGTGGTACGTCCCCACAGGCCGAACAGCACCATACAATCCGATTAAGAACTTGAGGCAAGCTGTCCCTTAGAAAATATTACTATAAAATCATTTCTCTTTAATATTATCATGCAAGTTGTTCAACAGTATATGGCTGATTGTGATTTGAGTTCACACATCAAATAAGTCTTTTGTAATTTTTAAAAGAATTGGTTTGACAATAATTTGTTTAATAGTTTTTTTAAGGATAAATTGTTGCTTAAAAAATTGATGCATTTGATGAATAATCAAATTAAAAGTAAAAAACTGTTAATGGGAGAGTTGAGCGGGTCCTTTGTTTTTTGTTTTGGGTTAGTTGTTTTAACTGAAAATAAGACTTTTTTTTCTTTGGCTTAATCAGCAAAAAGTGTCTAAAAAAATCACAACCAAATGGAGCCCAATAATTCTTTTTCTTTTCTATTTTCATCAAACTTGGAAGAGTTTGTATTGCTGAATTATTTAACCATCCCATGTATGCTAGTAAATGAAATGGTCATTATGTAGACTTGTGAGAACATTAATTAGTCTTCTATTATTTTTTAGACTTCAGCTTAATTACTGAGTCCATATTCCCCTATGTACCCCTATTAATGGGAAATTCTTTCATATGATTTTCAGTTTAAGTTTCTCAATCCCTTTTGGATGACATGTCACCATGTTGTTGATGTTGAGATTTTCCAAAAATGCTTCAGCAATAAGCATTTCTATGATTTAACATTTGTTTTTGCACTCAATTTGAGTTCATATTTCATAACATTGGAAATTAAATGGTGTTTTTGGTAGGAACATAACCAAAAATGAGCATGATCAATATGGTTAGTGCACTCCCACAAGAAATTTTATAATAAGCGTAAGGGCATATTCACTACTTTTATAAAGGAGTAATGTTTTGAATCATGAAAATGATTATGAAATATTCTTCACTTTTGAATTATATATATAATAAAACATCACACACTAATCAACGGATGAAAAATCCTCATGATACATTTCATGATATTTTTTTCAGGATCCCTAATATATTTTTTACAAAGAGGTCAAGTTATGTCATTGTCTGAGTAATGTTAAGTTTCATAAAAAAATATCATGAAAAAATTTATGAAAATTCTTTATCATTAGATTATACATATAATAAAATATTACAAACTAATTAAAAGATGGGGATTCTTCATGAAGTTTATCATGATATTTTTTTCATAAAACTTAAATAATTTTTTTTTTAATGTCAATTTACTCTGTACTAATTGTATCATTTTTTTCATTACATTTTTCACATCAACATTGTTACGATGACTGAATTATTCAATCATCGAATCATTAACCGCTCACAAATGTTTGCACTTTCGATCAGTGGCAGAATCAGGAAATTAAGTTAGAAGGGTACTTATTAATTATAATTTTTTATTTAAAAAAAAAAATCATGAGCAACATTAAAATAATAATGATTTTATGAGATAAATTTAAACATAAAAAATTACATATTCATTATCAATAAGAACAAATCAAAATTCTATAATAATGTGAAATGGTTCAGTGTGGGATGATGATGTAAGTTTGTAATTTTAGCACAAAAAATTATGGATCAAAATTTCTAATTTTAAAAAATAAAAACACATTATTTATAACAAAAATTATTATAAAATCTATTTAATTTTTATTTGACAGAAAAATATTAAAGAGATGCCATTGGTTATAAATGACGTGTTTTGAATGAAAATTATTAAATAATCTTAGAGTACCATATAACGTTCCTTATGTGACGCTCAAAACATAAAGGGCTTGTTTGGTTTGATTTTGGGAGATGAGTTTGGGAGATAAAAAGTACGAAAAGTTGTTTGGTTTGGTTTTTTTGGAAAGATGTTTTGAACATTTATTTTGAGAGAGAGTTTTGGAAAAAGTGATTGATTTGATATGTATGAGAAAGAGATTTGTTTGGAAAACTTGTTTGGTTTACAAGTTTTGGAAAAATTTGTTTGGTTTGAATTTTTCTGAAAACCCATTTGTAGAGAAATTTTCCCAAAAAGTTTTGGGAAATTCAAACCAAACGAACCCAAAAAATCACAAATTACACTAAGCGGTATGTCAATTACTTGAAAATAATGAGTTCATTATATCCAATCTATAATATTTTTCGCCACACTGTTAATTTAAACTACTACATAAACAATACCACATAGTGTTCGAAAGTATCAAGTAACTACTTCTTGTGAATAATACAATAAACCCTTAACCAAAGAACATGTTAAGAAAAATAAAAAAGATAATACATTTTTTACAAGACAATAAAAAAATTAAAAAAAAAGTTTTCAAAACTTAGCGGGCACGTGACCCCTGGCCCTGCTGTGCCTCCACCTTGCTTTCGGTGCTTGTATATTTTTTATTTGAAATTTTGTCAATATAATCTAATTAATATTAACATTCTTTAAGATATTGATCTGAAATCAAAGAGTAAAATATTCTCAAAGTGATTGATGAGTTAACATTCAATTTAAAATGATCAATTTCTTTATTGATGAATCATTGTACTCTTGATGTCAATCAAAATTCTTAATAAATATTATCAATTGAACTAAATTAATATCATATTAAAAAATTAAAAGATAAAAAATTGTTATAATTAGATTTTTGAAAAAACAAATTCACATGAGAGATAAATTACAGAGGGTATGAAAGTAATTTACCCAATCGTTACAATTTATCTCATTTTTCTTTTGTAGTTGTAAAAAATAAAAATAAAAACAATTAAAATATGAATCCTCACTTTCACAAGCGACTCTGTTACACACAGATATAGAGAGAGAAACAAAGAGACGAGAGAGAGAGTGACAACCTGTTCAGATCTGCTGGTTTTTATCCTTAGCTCATTGTTTAATTCATTCACAGGCGTTCAATGCGAACCCTTCGAAGGACTCAATCTTTCACCGAGTTGGGCTCTCACTGATCGTCCGTGTCAACCCAATTCCAAGTTCAATCTCTCTCTCTCTGTATCTACCTGTTCAAGGCCTTATCAGTTAAAACTTGAACTGGGTTCATTTACATTTTGAAAAAAATGATGATCTGTGGCATGAAAATGGTGATTTAGGCGTTGCCGGAGCTCCGAAGTTACAGAGGTTTTCCGGCGGAACTCCGGTGAACCCTAATTTCGAGGAAGACGATGTGAAATTGAGGCTTAAAGGAGAAGATGTTCAAGTCGGCGCTATGGAGGAGCGAGAAGAACAAGATCAAATTTGTTTTCAAATTACAGTTCCATGCGACTCGGGTAATTCCATTTTATGTTTCTTAAATCCAATAAAAATATTTTTGTTTTGTATATGTGTACATTGAATCGAAGAGGTGTAGTCAGAGTCTGAATTCTTTGAAATTGGTGGGTTTGTAGAAGACATTTTTTAAGGCAAAGTGATTGGAAAATTGGTAATGTACCACTGTTTGTTTCCTGAGAAACATATGATGTAAGAAAATAAAGTATAATTTTTGTTATGTGTTTATGTTTACTTCAACCAAAAAAAAAAAAAGTGATTAGGATTAGTGAAGGTGAAATGTCTCTGTTTCTTTGGGTTTTATGACTGAAATTGGAGATTCATCATGCCTATTATTTTCTTCTGTTTTGTTGATGCATTTTCTTGGTAAGCAAACAATGCATTTGGGGATCATGGTTTTTGTTTGGGTTCGGTTAAGATGCCACTGGTGGGATGAATGGCTATTGTTTTAATTCTGTTTTGATGTATTTTCTTGGTAACCAAACAGTGAATTTGGGGATGATGATTTTGTTTGGGTTCAGGTGACACTGGTGGGAGGGGATTCATTGACAATATCGGTGGTTCCTGCGGATGTTGGAAAGGCGACAGCGAGATTAGAGAAAGCACGAATTCAAGATGGAAACTGTTACTGGGAGAATCCTGTCTATGAAACTGTGAAGTTCTTTCGGGACCCAAAAAGGGGGAAGTTTCATGAGAAAATCTACAACTTTGTTGTATCAAATGTAAGAAATGTTTTGAATCTACGGCTTACTATTATCTGTTTTCTTATTACACAGCGATTTATTTTTGTAATGCTTTCTTGGGTTCTTGTAGGGATCATCAAAATCTGGTTTTGTTGGAGAAGTTTCCATTGATTTTGCGAGCTATGCCGAGGCCATTAAACTTTCCTCTGTTTCTCTTCCCCTTAAGAATGCAAAATCTGATGCTGTTTTGCATGTCAGCTCTCTTTCTCCCTCTCTCAAACACACTCACACTCATTCATGTTTGTCATAAATAACACAATTCATTCAAATTCAAATTCAAATTCAAATGTTCAGAATGTGATGTTTATTGAAGTGCATTAATATAGACTAGTGGCTCTAGAGCTTCCTCATATGTTTTTTTTTTTGAAATAGGTTTCGATTCAAAGGATGCAGGAAAATATTGATCAAAGGTGAGTATAAATCAAAACATTATTTATTCTTCACTATTTTTCAAGGTTCCAATTTTCTGATATGTAGATTTTTATGTGTATTTGTACTTAGTTTCAGAGAGACTGAGGCAGTTGAGGATACAAGACATAATTCCAAGGATAGAAGCTTGAGGATGCAATTAAGCATTAGTGATGCTGATGGAAGCATCAAAAGCAATTTTACCGAAGTAAGGTCCCATTTTCCATCTAGCCAAAAACCAGACTTTTTTTTTCTTCTTCTTGAGAGAGGGTCTTGGTGTTAAAGAAGAAATTTTTCATAAATATATTAGTTTACTTTTATTACCAGAGCAATCTGTAAGAACATGTTGTTTGTTTTTTTTGTTCGTGGTTCACAGGATGGGCCTTTCAATAAGAGGATTTCACATATTGCTGAGTTGAATGGGAACCACCGCGCATCAAGTGGATCTGATCTTACAATGTCAAGTTCCGAGAGCAGCTCTGACCTTGACACCCCTCGGGGATTCGGACTTGAGAATAGTAACGTCCATCATGAGTCGGTGCTTCAGAAAACAACCTCTGATTTATCTACAACAATTCATGAACAGCACCAGGGTTCACAATGGGAATGGTTAGAAGAGAAGTCCGAAGAGGCTTCAGATGTCGTGATTGAAAAGCTCAAAACGGAACTCATTGCATTGTCTAGGCAAGCAGAAGTGTCAGAGTTGGAACTACAGACTCTGAGAAAGCAAACTGTGAAGGAAAGCAAAAGAGGGCACGATCTCTTCAAAGAAGTCCTTAGCGTGAAAGAGGAGAGAGATTTTCTCAAGGAAGAATGTGAAAGATTCAAGGCTTTTCAGAAACGTATGGACGAGGCAAAAGTTAAAAACAAGTTGCCTTATGAGGGAGGAGATCCCCGTGCTCTTCTCGAAGAACTAAGACAAGAACTAAATTACGAGAAAGACCTTAATGCCAATCTTCGGATACAACTTGAGAAGACACAAGAATCGAACTCTGAGTTGATTCTCGCCGTGCGTGACCTAGATGAAATGTTAGAGCAGAAGAATAGAGAAACGCTTAACATTTACAACAGATCTGCAACTGGTGAGAACGCTGAGGAGTTGGCAGAATTATTGGAAATGGAAGATGATGAAGAGCAAAAAGCCCTCGAAGAGCTTGTTAAGGAGCATAGTGACCCCAAGGAGGCACGTGCTCTGGAGCAAAAGATCACGGACCTTTATAGTGAATTAGAGATGTATAGGAGAGATAAGGATGAGCTAGAGGTGCAGGTGGAGCAGCTTGCACTTGATTACGAGATCTTAAAGCAGGAAAACCATGATCTTTCATATAAACTCGAGCAAAGTCAACTGCAAGAACAGCTGAAGATGCAGTACGAGTGTTCGTCGTCTTATGCTACCATAAATGAACTCGAAAACCAGATTGAGAACTTGGAAAGTGAACTCCAGCAGCAGTCAAGCAAATTCTCGGACTCTTTAGCCACCGTTACTAAACTCGAAATACATGTCAAGAGTTTGGAGGAGGAAATAGAGAAGCAGGCACGAGGGTTTGAAGCAGATCTGGAGATTCTAACCTGTGCGAAAGTCGAGCAGGAGCAGAGAGCCATACGATCGGAGGAAGCCTTGAGAAAGATGCATTGGCAAAATAAGAATACAGCAGAGAGGCTTCAGGAGGAATTTAAAAGGCTTTCAGTGCAAATGACGTCTACGTTTGAAGCAAACGAGAAGTTGGCTACAAAAGCAATGGCGGAAGCGAGTGAACTGCGGCTGCAGAAAAGTCATCTAGAAGAATTGGTTCGAAAAGCAAAGGAAGAGCTTGAGTCAGTCCAGGACCAATATGAAGCAACATTGCACAAACTTTCAAGCCAATTGAGCTTAAAGGTCAATCAAATCGAACAGATTGAGTCAAAAATTGAAGATAAGTCCAAACAGATAAAACGTGGGGAAGAAAGTCATAGGATTCTCTCCCAGGAGACAATAATTCTCAGAGCTGAGATTCAAAGGCTCAAAACGGAGAATGATAGCATTTCTGTTGATGTGGAAGAAAGAGAAATTTTGAAAGGTGAACTGGAAAAAATGAATACATTGATGAAGAAAACTGAAATGCTGCTACAAAGAGGAAACGAGGAAAGGAATGACATGGAAAGCATGATTTCTTTGTTGAGGAATGAAGCAGAGAAGTCAATTGAGGAACTAAACATTCTGAGGAACTTAACGTGTGAAAAGGAATCAATAATTGGAAATATGCAGTTGGAGTTGGAGACTCTCAAATCTCAGTACAATGAATTGAAACGTTCTCTGTTTGAGGATGAATCCGAGAAAGAGAAACTGATGAAACGGGTGATTCAGTTAAAAGGTGACCTAAAGAAGAAGGATGATGCAATCAGCGGTTTAGAGAAGAAGCTCAAGGATTCCAACAATCGGTCGACTGCCTTGGATGGAACAAAACCTTCTTTGCGGAACAATAGATCTGCTTCTGTTCCTCGTGGTCCTAAAGAGACTGCAAATCTGAAGGACAAAATAAAACAGCTCGAGGTAAAATTGCAACTTAATGTAGTATATTAACAAAGGCGGACAATCTTTTTGTCACTAGCTCCATCATTTTTAAATTCATTCAAAATATGATTGTATATGTTTAGCCCTCGTGAAATTATTTGCTTGATATATTAATCACGACAACATCTGCAGAAAACATAATGCTACATTATGCACTGTAATGACAATGAGAGATTTTCTTTCATAACCAGGGTCAGATAAAGCTGACGGAAGCTGCACTCGAAACCTCGGCAAATTCATTTTTAGAGAAGGAGAAAGATCTTCAGGATAAAATTGAAGAGTTAGAAAGAAGATTGGAAGAACTCTGTCAAAATAGTGCTAGTTTTTATGAATATCAATTCCAAAAGGTTAGTATCTTTGCAGTTCATATGATGAAATCATGCATATGCTTCTACAATGCCTTTCATTAACTGTTTTATGCAAATCATTTGTGGCATTTGTTAAAAACTCTTAATCTCATTATTAGCATAAAGGCAACATTTTTACTTTTCTATGTTAATTTTCTCTTGATTTTACTGTTTGGTGAAGCACACTGACTTCCTCATCAAAATAAAATATATAAAGGTAGTCAAGTTGGACTCTTTTCAGAGTTGAATAATAAACCTCTTTGATTTTGATTTTGATTTTGATTTTGATTTATTTATTTATTTATTTTTGTTTTGTTTTTATTTTGGTGAAATGTTTTTTAAAGTAATTTCTTAAAACAACCCCACTTTTTAGGAAACACTAAAAGTCGTTTTTGCACAAAAACAGAATGATGGTGTTTTCAAACTTTTTAGTGTTTTATATCTGAAAATACGAAGAAAAAAACAAAACAAAAATACAATCAAACATCAAGAATATTTTCTTCTCTCTATCATGCAGTTTTTTGTTGAGCAATACTGAGGGCAATGGCTCATCTTGGATGCAGGTAGCTGAAGTTTCTGAGGCCATTCCCTCAAATGGTTGTATACATGAAGTGAAAACTATGGATGAAAATTTGAGAAGGTACAACTCATTGGGATATGACTTCATTTTCTTTGAGCGGAATTGATCTAACTTTGCTCTTAATCCCAATCAATTTTTAGATTTTCTGATCTGTTTTCTTTATTTTTGCAGAGATCAAGAGAACCTCAAGGAATTATTAAATGAAATGGCATTACTGAAGGAGAGGAACAAATCAATGGAAGGTGAACTAAAAGAAATGCAAGAGAGATATTCAGAGATAAGTCTCAAGTTTGCAGAGGTAGAAGGTGAGAGACAACAGCTTGTAATGACAGTACGGAACCTTAAGAATGCAAAAAAGAGCTAAAAAAAAATTTCCCATGAAACTGGAAATTGGAAACAGTTCATAGATAAAGCATCCCTGCCTAATCATACGTATATTTGTAATACATTTCTTTTTCTTTCAGATACTTATTGTGTTCCTCATTGGATAAAGTATAAAAATACAAATAGTTTCCCCATATATAGGTAGGTGTGCCTTGGCCAAAAAAGGAAAAAAAAAAAAAAAACTTGCCTCGGTGTCTAATCCTTGTTCTTTTTGTAATCTTATTATAGCTTGTACGGATAATTATGTCAGTTCTATCATTTATGTATTCTTTCAATTTATGTGTCGAAAGTTATACAAATTGGCTTCTTTTTATCCGTTCAATTAACAATTATCCATTCTTGAATCGTAATTTGGTATTGTGGGTGTTCTTAAATAGTTGTCAAATATTCTAGTTTTGATGCTTGAAAACCAATCTATTATTACCTTTGGGATATGCCCAGTAGAGTTCAACAAGATAGAGAGCTCTTTCAAGTTAAATCAACTCAACAAAGCTCTCTTACTACTTTCAATTTTAGTTAAATGAACCTATTTCACAATCTGCTCTGTCCACAGCCGTAGGTACATACTTTTGGATTAAATTATACACTCTATAACAGTTTTACCTTTTGAGATTTGCTCCAATTTCTCAAAAACTTAGCTTGTAGATGAAGAAAAACTTTGGTGCTTTTGTGTGTTCCAAGTGCTTGGTTTTAAGAACGTGAACATTTTATAAACACTTGAGTCAAAGGTCATCGCCATAATAAATAAATAAATAAATAAAAAGACGACTCAGTGTACGAGAGGCTTTCGTTAAAATGTATGCAGTCTTATCCGCATTTTTGAAGAGATTGTTCGTATGATTCAAATCCACCATAATAAGATACTAATAACTAGCCTTACTGTTGAGCCAAGTTGTGGTTTAAATGTCATTCTCATCTAATCATGAAGTTGGAATATATGGTAGTTCATGGTATTATTATATAGGAAATGCTATTATATATTAAACTGGTCATATATGACCAACCAAATTTAAGTCATGTGTTTGGATATGAACATAATTTATTCAGATCTGAGTACATTCAAAGTATCCTATCTAAGTACCTATATAATATTTGGATCTAGAAAAAATTAGAGAAGATGACAGGATTTTGGGGCCTCTTTTTTTTTTTTTTTGGTGGTAAATAGGGTGCATGAAATTAAATATAGAAAAAGGGTTTTGTTTGAAACTTCTTACTCCAAGACAAAGAAAGATTAAATCTCTATTGGTTCAACTATTTGATTTTCTTTGATTTTATTACTTAACTAGAGGAAAACAAGGTAGCTGAATGGGGGATACCAAGGGGCTCTTGTTGCTAGGTCTTGAACTGTGTTTGGTAACAGGTTACTGTGAAATCTAAACCTAGAGAAGAAATCAATTTCATTATTGCTCTGTTTGGTTGCTGAGAATAGGTGGGAAAAGAACCTATTTAAGTTTGGAGGGCATTAATAGAATGCCTATCAGTTTTTTTTTTTTTATTTTTTTTATTCTGGGAAATACTTGTTATTTCAGGTAAAAAGCAATGCTGAAAACAATCAAAGCCCTCCAAAAATTAAAAGATATTAAAGCATTTGTGGTAACAAAAAAAAAATGATACTCTGACAATAACAATCATATAATTGAAAATCTTTCATGATGCTTCGCATTTTTGTGAGGTGTTTTATATCTTTAGTGTACACTCAAATATACTGTAATTGCAAGCACTCAGCTTCTCTCCCATGCTGTGACTATAGTCTAAGTTAGAGAGGAGCCAGACCCTTTTGCCAAACACTCGACTTCCCTCTAGTCGACTGGAATCCAATTGTGAGAGGAGTAGGACCATTTTACCAAAACCCAAAAGCACATAACATCAAAGCTGTTAGAGGTGCACCCATGTCTTTTTCTATTTTGGAATCTAATTGTTAGCATCTATCAGAACATCATTTTTTTTGGTTTGGGAAGTGCCTTTTATTTTTGTTTCTGTTTCTATTCCAACTCAGCATGATAGCTAATAAATTCATTGAATAATTCTTTTGAGCTTAATTTTATATATGTTACAAATTAAAAATACTTTAGTGTTTATCTTCCAGTATTGCCAATCAACTCTGGCTCCACAAGACTAATACTAAAATGTTGTTTTGGCAAATCTGTATATGCAAAGCTGCTAAAATTCTCTAGATTACAAGGTATTTGATATTGGTTGGCAATCAAGTATTTGATACGGCTTATGATTATAACTTATTAGGCAAAAATAACTTAAATAATATATATATATATATATATATGTATGATATATATATATATATATAAATTATTGAGAAATTAAGGGAGGAATGCTTTTGTCTTCTTTGTGATTATCAACTTTCGACTTGCAAAAGGTTATAACTAACAAACCTTAGTATGTTATTTAGATGAACTCCAAAGTCAGTGAATTTAAGGTTTTGTGCAATGGAGAAATCTCAGTTATTTGTCAAAGAACGGAAGAATTTACAATTGAAGTATATCCTCTTAGATTAAAATCTCTCCACTTATGAAGCTTGACCTCTGATGATGTAGGGAAGTGTGTAAAATGTGCAACAATTGAACATGGATCTTTCAGAACGAATCTGGCAACGTTGGATCGAACCCATATTTACCATTTTGCTATTCTCATATCCAAAATCTTCTAAATTTGACAAACGTTGGGTGTAGAGCCCTCCATATATATATATATATGCTTACATTTTATGATTAATTAGTCCACACACTGCTACTAGGGCTATGATGAGTAAATGATCAACATGAGGCTCCACCACCAAGCTCAACACATCATTCCCCAACATGACTCCTGAAGAAGATTGCTTTTGCTTTACCTGTAAAATTATATATACGTTTATTAATATCAAAATCAATAAATTTAAATAAAACTAAGACCTCCATCAAAAAAAAGAAAAAAGAAAAAGAAAGAAAGATAAAAATTGACTAGCCAGAGGCTTAATAACCTCTGCGAGAAGTCGTTGCTTGCTATCTATTATTTTGAATGTAGATTTACTATTCAGTCCTTCAATGGTGTAGAGACTTGCTTGAGCTTTGTTACATCCCATGGTGACTTCACACACTGAATTTCCTCCCTTTAGAAGCTTTCTGTTCTTTCTGACTCGAAACCATGGCTTCTCATTCTTCATCATTTTCTGACCGTCACTTTTGTATCCGTCCCAACGCCCAAAAATCTGTAATTTCTGCGTGAATTGATAAAAGCATGAAAACCCGTCTCAGATTTTTGTCACAATTTTAACATTACAATCATATATATGTAAATAAATTCAACTCTTGTTTGTACCTTTTGAAATATAGCACAGAGAACCTTGCCTCGAAGATCCATGATATAGACTTCATCGCTGCACCTGCTGTCATAGTTATCTACACGATAAATGATTTGACCGTTTGAATCAAACACTGTGCAACCATTTCCATTTAGCACAGCTCTAGAAGTTGCTGGCAAAAACTCTACCAAAGAGTATGGAGGAGCTCATAGCATAGATCGAGAAATATGCCAGAATAGAAAAAGATACGCCGGGAACGAAGGTGCCGAAGCAGGAGAAGAGAAACGGCTTGCCGAAGCGAGGTCGAGGTAATATTGGTTCTAACAGGCAGGAAACAGGGCTGAGGGTTGCACAGGCAGTCACAACTGTGTTCCAGATCCCGGTTTACAAAGTTCTCGAAAGAATCAGGAACCAGCCATATTATACAACTCTGGAGAAGATTCCTAGTGAGTTCATGAGAAGGAGCCTTGGGAAGCACTGCGTTTACCACAATGAGGATGGGCACCTGATCCAAGGGTGTAGAGCCCTAAAGACGCACTTGGAAGATCTAGTTAGATAGGGTCCCTTGAGGGACCTAGTAGATGAGACCAGAACGAGGTAAGAGCATGCAAGGCTTCCCTTGGCACCTGCAGCACCACCGCCGCCACAACCACAACAAACAGAACCTTGGGTGATTAATGTGATTCATTCAAAAGTTAATGAGAATGATATATGAGGAGAGACCCAAAAGGTGAGGCACTTGCAGCATATATCAGGTCCAGCAAAAGAGGCCTAAGACAAACGAGTACCAGGGACCACTGATGTCCTTTACTGAGGCAGACCTGAACATGGTGCCACATCACACAACGATGCCATGGTAGTGACCCTCAAGATTGGAGAATGCTAGGTAAGGCGCATTTTGATCGACCAAGGCAGCTCTTGTGACATCATGTATGTCAGATGTTACAAGGAGCTTGACCTTCACCGAGATGATTTGGAGCAGTTTGACAGCCCAATGGTCGGGTTCAATGGAACATCGACATGACCTCTAGGAGTAATAAATTTAGAGGTGCAAGCGAGCACCTGGAATGTTAGCACAGAATTTACCATAATTGATATCCTTTCTCCTTACAATGCTATATTAGGAAGACTATGGCTGTACGCAATGAGGGTTGTTCCCTCAAAGCTGCACCAGTTGTTACAATTTCCAACTGAATAAGGGATTAAGGAAGTCAAAGGAGATTAAGTGCAGGCGAAGAATTGCTCCATGGCAGCAATGAAAACTACCTGCAACATTCGGGAACCAGGGAAGGCAGAGATTGAAGACGAGGACATGGAGGTCCTAGATGATGTCGGCAAGGAGCCAGCCGAAAAGAGTGAAGAGACACTGAAGAAAATCCTCGTCCAGGAGGGCGACGAAGAGCGCTTCTTTCTTCTCGGCTCAGGCTTAGCCGAAGAAGAAGAAAGGGAATTGAAAACAAAACTACTCGGCATCAATGGCAGGATATAAAAGACAGTTGGGAAGACTTCTCAGCAGCCTTCTCGGCCTCGAGCTCAGCCTCGATCTCCTGAAGAGTTTGATCAAGGCTCTTCTCGGCGATTGGAACCTCGGAGTTTGAAGGCAAAGATTAAAAGCAAGAATCTGGAAAAAGACACAGAAAATAGAAACAAGAATGTAATCCGTAATCAAGAATGGTGATGAAGCTATCAGGAAATCAAGACAAAAAGATTGCACAAGTATGTCAAGGCAAGAACAATGGCAGAAATCAACAGATGTGTGAACAGTGTATATTCAAGAAGATGATATGGAAACAACGGGTAAAACAAGAATGGTGATTAACAATGAAGCAGAGCTTCTTGGAAAGCAACAAGAAATAAAACTAGGAGGAACAGTGGCTTACCAGAAAGAGGGAAGCCGGAATGAGAATTGCCGAAGTCTGACGACAATGACAGAATGACGTAAGCTTCACCGGAGGAGAGGAACGAAGACAGTTGCAAAAGCTTGAAAGCTTGGAACAATGACGGATTTAAGCAAAAGAGCTAGAAAGATAAAAAGCCAGAGGATTGAATGAAAAAAGAGAAAAATAGTCAAGAAGATGACAAAGTTCAAAAATAAAGCCAAGTGCACATGCACTAAGTAAGTATGTGATGAAACAAGAAAGTAATGAACCAGACATGATAATAGCAACAGAAAGCGGATATGACAAGAACAGTGTCAGGTGATTAAACAATTCAAGACTTGAAAACAGACGAAAATAGAAGAACACAGAGGGTAAGTAAACGGATTCAGAAGAGTTATGAAAGATTGAGCTTAATAAAAGAGTTTATGAACCTACCAAGAGAAATGAACGCCGATATGAATACTCGTTCTGTGGTTGTTTCAAATTTCAACACTTTCGTATAGAAGTTGTGAGCATATTTGCATTGCATGGCTCAATTATATCGAGAACTTGGTTCAAATCTCATCATATTTGCTGCATGTTGCTCGGCATATTCCACTTGCTACTTTCATTTATGGGTCTTTAAACCCAGGAAGAATATATATGAATAAGAACCATTTACTCAACAATATTTCACCAAGGTATTACATGTTTATCTCTAGTAATTATATATTTGGGTAAATTACACTTTTTCAGCTTTATAATTTGGCCATAATTTCACTTTAGTCCAGCCATAAAAAGTCACATCGTTTGGTATTTGTGGGGATATATTTTTTGAGTACCAACACGTGACAAGGTGACGCCGACGTGTCAGTCGAGGTGCCACGTGTCTTGGTCGTTGTGCCGAGGACATCTCGGCTAGGCCGAGGTTAACTCCGAAGATATCGGAATCCGAGATAAGCGGATAAGGGACAAGAGTCCTAGAATGAAGAGGGAACTCAACTTCGATATGGACAAGAGTCCTAGATTGGGAGAAGATTTCAGTTTGGGTAAAGATAAGACTCTTAGAGAGTTTATCCTAATCCCACTGAGAATCCCAGATTAGCAGTAATCCTAAATCCATTAGGGTCAGGCTCCTTTTGGGACTAGGATTGTGTTGGCTATAAAAGAGAGGCACCCCCATGGGTCTAAGGTATGTTTTTTATACTCAAGCTTGTGAGTTTAGTACTTGATTTATCTTTGAGAGATATACTGACTTGATCGTCGGAGTGCCCCGGGTGGTCGAAACCACCGCGGGATTCTTATATTTCTGTTACAGGTCAGTCAGGTGCCATCTATTCTGTCAGTGCTCTCTAGTTGGTTACTAAGCGGGCAGTGTGGTCGAAAAATCACCCACACAATATATATCTATGTATATAGGCTGATTCCTTATATGTATCAGTTCCTAGTCTATGCACAACTGATACCACTGGTTCATAGTCGATATGATTGGTTCAACTGATATCGGTTTATAGTTGGTATGCTTGCATTGTATGTGGTGGAAATTAAACCTCTCTTTTTAATTTGAATCATAAAGTTGAGAGATATATTATTGAGAGAAAAAAAATAAATCCATCAATGAAAATAGTATTTATGTATGGTCAGTGATGATGATGTTGGAGTGCTAACTACTGTGGCATCTTCCAAGAATCCAAAATATTGCATTTGTATTATATGTTAGTTAGAATATAGAAATGCAGCTTCTCCCCTACTTTAACGATTTATCTGTTTTTTGAAAAAAAAAAATACTATTTTTGTGGTTTTTTCTTGATGATTGAAAATGTACAGGGGGGTTACTGTTAACTCTTGACAGTGGTTACTGCTTATCCTTATCCAATTTAATCTTTCATTGTCAACTTAGATGCATACATAGTTTCCTAAAAACTTAGTTTAATAATTTGTTGGAGCTGTTATGCAAGAATTGAAATGTGTCAATTCATATAGTAAAGAAAAATAAATTATACATAGAAAAAACAAATATACGTAGTTCAACAATGTGATTACTAGTTCAAAAAAAAAAAAAAAAAGTGATTACGTCCAGGGAGGAGAAGGAGATCAAATTTACTATGCACGGTAAAAATACAAAGCTCAAAACCTCTCAATTCAGGGGGTATTGATTAAAAGTCAAAAGCTAATTTTAATCCATTTTGAGTCACATCATCTTTCATATAAAATAATAAAAAAAGTTTAAGAGGTCAACAAGTCAACTTTTAACTATCTTCTCAAAACACTATAGACGTTTGGCATGTACTAAAAAAGTACACTTTTTTTGTATACACACACTTATTTGGGCTACATAAATCAACATTTCATTTCTACTTCTCTACCTACTTTCTCTACTTTTCTATATATTTTTTTTATAAAAAGTCAAAAATACACTCATTTAGAATATCTCAAACCACCCATGGCCTCGTGTTGGGATTATTTGACATCTCACAAATGCCAATAGAAACACAAACACACATTAAAGAGAAACAAAAACGCGCTTATGTTTATGAGTGAAAGATAAATTCACAATGCTTACGTTCGGGATGTGGATTGATTTTTTAGCTTTTCGTCTATTTTAGCCTAGGGTTAAAAAGGCTCGTTTGAGATGGGTTTTTTGAACTTTTGTAAGAGAAAAAATGAAATAATTATGGTTTGAATGTGACATTTTATTTTATTGTGCTAAAAAACTTATTTTATCTTTTTGTGGTTAAAATAATCCTAACCCAACCCAACCCAAATTTTCTTACCAAACGGACCATATATAACCATATAAAGTACAACTATGATATCAAAAATGCCCAAAAATCCGACACCAATACCCAAGCTCTGCTAAGGGTAACTAAGCCTTGAAATATACTCGCTTCCCCACTCACAAATAATGCCTTCACTATTTTTTCATCTCCCTAAATCTCTACAAACCCTCTCAATCGCACAATCTTAGAAATTTTACAAATTTGTCACATACTCAATCATATAGGACCTCACTACCTTGCCACAACATTACGAATGAATTCAAAATTTTAAATTACAAGTCACAAGCGTTTGTGATAAAATTAGACATAGACATAATAGAATTTATTATTGGTCTTCAACATGAATTTCTTGGAAACATCATCATCCATTTGAAATTTTTAATCATATATAACCAAGTAACACAACAATTACAAAATTTTCCGAGTCCCCAGAGCTTTTTCGACTCAAGAGACCGTGGTGTCCCTACCCTAAACAAAAAGAATGATAATATGAAAAATTGCTGTTTCTTTGTTCTCTCTTTCCTATACAAATATAACCTCCCTATTGCTCAAATAGACAAAATAGTACAATATTTGTCTTGCTTTTGCATCTCACATCTTCTGATGATCTCTTGTGATTGAATTCATCATTCAAATCTTATGTTTGATCAATCCATAGACAGTCACAAGAGCCATAACAAGGGAATGATCTGTTTGGGGTTCCACAACTAAGGTTAACACATCATCTCCCAACTCAACTCCTGAAGATAATTGCTTTTGTCTCACCTGCACATCCCCAATTCACAACAATTATTATTATCATTAATTTGATAAATAGTAATAAAAATAAAATAAAAAATAAAAAATCGATTTTAATGGAATACCCTAAAAAACCATTCATTTTTTTGGATTCCTGATATTTCAATTATGTCAAAAACTTATTTAATTTGTGTTTAAATGGTTCCAGCATCGTTTTCATCCAAATTTGGACCAAAATAACACTGCTTCCATAAATATAAATAGATAAGTTGATAAACAAATTGACATAATAGAAATATCGGGATCAAAATGACATAGACTACATACTTAAAAGACTACCAATGTATTTAAATTTTTTTATGATGAAAAATCTCCCCAAGGCAAGATGACTCTTACAAAATAAACCTCAAATATCTGCCATCACTCGCAAATCACAGTTATTGCCCTAAACCCATACTTGGACTAACCTCTGCAACTACTTTGCCATCACCGTCTGTAATCTTGAATGCATATTTCCCAGCCAATCCTACCATCTTGTAGCAATTTGCTTGAGCTTTATCGCACCCCAAACTAACATGACAATCCATGTCTCTCCTCAAAATGTTGTTACTGTTTCTTCTCACTTGAAACCATGGTCTCTCCTTTTTCCCTTCACTGCCACTCCATTTATAACCATCCCAATGTCCCAACAACCCTAGTTTCTGCAAAACCAACACAAAAACAAAAACAAAGAAAAATTTGTATATATATACCTTTTTTCGTATAGAGAAGAGAACTTTGCCACACATTGCTTGCTATATATATACCTTTTTTCGTATAGAGAAGAGAACTTTGCCGCGGAGATCCATGAGATTGACTTCACTGCTGCTCTTTTTTTCGTAGTTGTCGATACGATAAACAATTTCACCATTCGAATCGAAGACCGTGCAGCCATTGCCATGGAACACAAGTGATTTCATCCATATGGTGAATGTTTCTCTTCTTGAAGTCATGTAGTTAGGAGAACATGTAGGTCTCTGAGGATGAATCTTAGCCATTGAAAGCATGAGAGAGGACAAGAGAGTTGGGCTTTTAGGTGGAGACCTCTTAAAGATGTTATATATACCGAAATTATACCTTCTTTAATTTGGGAATTCTAAAAAAACACTAATAAAGTAGAAAATCAAAATCAAAAAATCAAAACATCACATCACATGAGATTCGCACACCAATTAAATTATTAAAACTCTTAATTTAAAATTCTTAATCTTTATATATATATATATATATATGTGCGCGCGCACACTTTTTTGTTTTTTTAATTTATTAATATGAAGATTGGTGTGAGATTTAAATATTTTAATATTGAAATGTGATACATCACCACTTTATAAAAAGAAATTCAAAGTGTATACAAAGAATTGAATATAAATTTATTGGTATAGTTTGAATTATATTAATTTGTACATCTCAAAAAATAGTAAACGATCTCAATAAATTACGAAATTTTGACAGAGGCGTGTATACGTAATTCTAGATAACTTTTGTATTTTAACTTTTTATAAAAAAGATCAATTAAAACTTATAATCGGATAATCTTAGTTACAATAATTTTTATTCATTTTTACAATGCAGATTTTAGACGTTGTTTTAACTAATGAAACGAGCTCATTTTTATTGATTTCGCGTAAACTGAAATAAAACTTTATTCCACCTTAGAAGGAACTCGAGGCACCCAAATACTCCTCCACGAAAACACACCTCCCACCTCCCCTACCAGGCCCTGATAAAAAGACCGAACAGAGAACTAACCTCTATCACCCACCTCACTCCAAACCAACATATCTTCCCCCTTCCCCGATCTGCCCAACCCATATAGAAAGCTGAACAGCTCAAAGATTGGGTTCAGTTGTATTTGTATCCCCTATTCTTTGTTTCCAATTTGTACTGGCAGTCAGGTGATCACAACAAATTAATCCTATGGGTATATCAAGGGGCAGTTTTGTCCTGTCGTATTATTTGCCACCATGTCAAGATAGTGACTTTTGAAATACTCGCATCCTTTTATCTCACAAAGATAAGAATATGAATACATCTTGCGGGTGTATTCAAAAATTTAGGAAGTGTATTTAGAAGTTCTTGTCAAGATGATGGGGTTGCTTAATGCAAAACTGCTAAATACATAAACTACATATAGAACTAAACACAAACAAACATATGAAAAGTTAAGATTTTTGAAAGATTTATTGATGAAGCTCGCTTAGAAAAATCTTTTTTATGAATTTATTTATATTTTACAATTCTGTATTTAATTTATGTGTTTCTAAACTTATTAGTAAGTACAAAATATTTTTATTACATCAAATATCAAGACAGTAAATTGCGATTAGGGTCAATGTTGTTAGAATTGAGTAGAAAAACTCAAGTTCAATTTAAAAATAGATCATCACCACCCTTTCTTGGCAGAAATGAAGGACACTTTTCAAACAAATTTCACAGTTTAGGCCCTCATTGCACAACTTTATTATTTTTGGAAAATTATTTTTCTAATAATTTTTGTTTTATTTTTTCATAATTTAATCATTCATTGGAACAAAATATGAACTTATTTGGTCAGAGGTGACTTGGCCACATTTAAGGCATGTAATATGTATATATTTGTATATATGTATAGTTTATTAATACAAGTCTTTTAAATACCCCTATGCATGGAGCAAGGATCCTCTAGAGTGATTTTTTCTTAAAATTTCTTAGAGTGCTACATTGTGTGGTTGAGATTTACTGGCAAGTCACATCAGAAGGTTGAGATTTATTGGCAAGTCACATCAATTTTTCTGATGTGACTTGCCAGTAAATCTCAACCACACAATGTAGCACTTTAGGAAACTTTAGAAAAATTTCACTCTAAAGGATCCTTAGTGCTATGGATGCATGTATTATTATGTTTGTATGTGTACATGTATTGTTTTTTTGGGCTTGTTTGTTTGAATACCATACACTTTTTTGCTTTGGTGAGCAAACCCTTTTGCCCTTTAACTTTTGACCACTCTTTTTTTTAATTTATATTTAATTTAATATAAACCTTTTTGCTTTATTAGTTCAGATAGCAGATTAAAATAAAGGACAAACCCAAGTTCAAAAACCCATTTGGATTCTACCTCCATTTTTTGTGTTTATTGATGTCATAGGAAGAGTAACATATTGTTTGCATTCAATTTTTAAAAAGTGCTTGTCCACAAGGCAGAGGCAAGCATCATGTGACACGTGGCAGAAAATGGAGCAAAGTAGTTAGTAAATTTTAGGAAAAATTACAGTGACTTTCTTTGATATTTAGAAAAAATATAATAAGTTTTGTAATTTTAATACAATTATATTGAACTCCCTTAATATTTATTTAGCATCCATTTTATCAATAATTTGTTAAGTAAATGGATGATTTTTTTAATATTATCATATCTTTTATATAAAAATGCATATTTTACGTTATTTATTTTTATATTTTCGCACCATCTATATTAGTTTCGATTCATTTAACTTTATTAAAAGGAAAATCAATATAATTATATCAAAATTATGAAATTTACTATATTTTTATTAAAAATGTATCCTAAATATTACTAACATATATATATGCATCATATAGTTATCTTGCTTGCTATTGTAACCTTTTCACTTCAATGAATTTTATTAATATTTAACTGATTATTTATTCTTTTCTGATGGTGGCCACACTAATTTCAGTATTATAGGCTCATCCAGAAGAAAAAAATGTTGGCTATAGTGATGCATATAAGTGGTTTGACGGTATTAGAATATTTGAACTTCAAAAAAAAAATTAAAAAAACAATAAATATATAAGCTCGATTCAATGTTATCAATTTTCTTTCGCAACATTCATGTTCAATTGAAACTTGAAAACAAACCAATAATCATCATTAATTCAACATGCCTATTCGAAAGGCATGTTTTTCAAAATGATTCGACATCTTTAGAAAACAAACATGGTGAAATCATGTGTGTTACAATATTATTGTATCATTCTATCTTTTTTACGAATAATCTAAACACGGAGATGTAGGAAAGATATTTTTGAAAAAATCAATTTAATATAAATAAATAATAAAATAGAACATAAGAAATTTTTTACAGAAATTCTATAAATTTAATATAGATTGTGACTAAGGCTAGTGTTTGAACATTGTATCTTTAAGATAGAATTTCGCTCTCGTCTCTGATATTTGTGATTAATAGACGTCTTACCTCCAAGATACAACGATCACCCCCATGCAGAAATTGCACAACTTTTTGTGTGTACATTGAACCAATTTGTGTAATGCACTCTCTATTATATACTCGATTAAACATAATGTATGAATCTTAAAATAAACATGGATAATTCCTGGTAGCTCGAATAATTGGCTCGACTTTTGGCTCGAATATGTAAAACGACGTCGTTTTACATTTTTTTTTTTTTAATTCGAGCCTCGAATTCGAGCTACGAATCATCGTCGAATAAACATTAACTTATGTGTCAATGCCATGCGATGGCATGGTATTTATTGAAGTACTCATGACCTTTAAAATTGTCATATTTTTTGGGTTCACACCCTTTCATACGAATAGACATCATGAAGGGTTGCATCATTTCATTCAAATTGAGTCAATTTCTATTCACTTCTAAAATTTTTCAATAGGAGACCCGTAAAGTATATAGATCAGATCATCATAGGGGTATGCGTGGTGTGGTTTCGACAGTTTGAAAGTAAATTATAAACCAAATGACAAATTGGCAGATTGAAAAATAATCAAATTGCAATTTGTGTGACAACAATTACTGTATCATTATCTTTTTTACGAATAATCTAAACACGAATACCTGTAAATTAAATAGATCAGATCATTATAAAGGTGTGTGCAGTGCTATTTGGGTGGTTTGAAAGTAAAATTATGAGTTTGGATTCTCTCAAGTTAGGATCTTAATTTCAGAGAGCGTTTGGGCTTGGTTTGAAATCAATTTCGATAATCCAAATCATTCACTTTTCTAGACTTATTGAGTAGAATATTTCTCCAAAAAATAAATATGATTGGACATTAATAGCTATATATTTGAATCATATTTGTTTTCAAAAAATGGACGACAAATATAATTTCAAGAATAGTTATCCATTTTGTGTAATATAAATTTGATTCAAACATATACTACCGATGTCCAACCATCTCGATTTTTACATGAAGATTCTACTTAATGAGTCATAGAAAATGAACGTTTCGAATTATCGAAACATAATCTATGGTGGACTCTATGAACCCCTCAAGTTCTCTGAGGAGCCCAACCCAAAAATTATAAACCAAATGGCGGATTGACGGATTGAAAAATAATCAAATTATGGTTTGGGACGGATTGACGTATTGAAAAATATTCTTAACCAATTATCAAGCATTTGCATAATATTTTTCACATATATATAACCCAAACTAATTTTATATAATATTTTTCAAATATATAACTACTTGTGGGTGTTGATTTCTGACCACGCTGCCAAACAGGAACACAGCAGGAGAGCACAGGCAGAATAGATCATGCCCGAACAACCTGTCACAGAAAGATAAGACTTTGGCGGTGGTTTATCCACCCAGGGGCACTCCAACGATCAAGTCAGTACTCAGTTATCTCTCAAAGATAACAAATAGTACATAACTCACTAGCCAGAATACAAAAAGCGTACCTTAGACCCACGAGGGTACCTTACTTTTATAGTCAGCACTAACCTGATCCCTGTAGAAGCCTAACTTCAATGGACTTTTGCTCAATGCCCATCTTGGACTCCCAGCTAGATAGAGACAAACTCTCCAAAAGCTTTATCTTTATCCAGGCTGAGGTTCTCCCCCATTCTAAGACTCTTGTCCCTTATCCGTTCATCTCGGGTTCCGATATATCCACAAATAACCTCAGCCTAGCCGAGATCACCTCGGCATCATAACTAAGCCATGTGGCACTCTAGCTGATACGTCGGCGTCACCTCGGCCACGTGCTATCATTCACAAAATATGTCCCCACAATTGCCCCTAGGTT